AACAAGTCTTCTACGCGTGCCCCGTTAGGTCTTCTCAGACCCTTGCCCATTCCGGATCAGCCGGGAGACTCAGTGTCAATAGATTTTATGGACACTCAAGTCAAAAGCAGGCATGGCAAGAGCCAAGTCATGGTCATAGTTGACCGCTTTAGCAGGCGCTTCTCTGAGCATCTTAGTTCAAGACTTGCCAGCACAGGATGTACACATATCCAAGATACACATTTCATCAATCAAAACCAAACATTGGACCAACTCAATTGTGAAAGTGAAAAGTGTTTCTCGTCGGCATACCCCACAGATAGAAATCATATATGACTCAGGAAAAAACTTAGTCGAATCCATAATGTCAGGCTAAAAACAGTCTTGAAACTCGAGTCACATGTCTCTCTTATCCTCTATTGTTAGGGTATACATGCTGAGTCAGAAAAGTATAAAAGAGACAATAAAATCTCATGCTATCTCATATATCGGAGTACATACTCTAAAATATCTTATCTATCCTATTTACTAAAGTTTATCACTGCATCTAAGCAGGAAATAACAAATATGCCGCAGATCTTATCTCACATTCGACTACTAGCGTACAATATTTTATCTGAAGAAGGAAAAAAGTCCTACTATAGAACTCAAAAGAATGAAATCAAAAGGTTGCTCATCCACTAGTTAGGCGCAATCCTTTCCTAATGCCCTTATGTTAAGCTTTAATTATTTAAGTAGCTGAAATCTAAACATTTCGTCGGCCTGCTTTGCCTGCCCCTAGGTCCGACTTACACAGACAAAACGTCCAGATAGTATCTCTTATCAGTATACAAAGTCTCTCTTCCTTACAATATTCTTCCCGAAAGGCAATCTTCAAACCAAACCTCACTACATTGCTTATTTCCAACGTCTAAGACCATTCAAAAAGCAGGTAATAATATACTTCGATAATAATGCATTTGCAATTTTTGAATATTGGATGTCATAAATTATCATAATAATTGTTACTTATAGTATGGATATACTGTCATAGTGACAACAATTTTTATAATAGTTGAGTAAGTAAATAGTATTAGCAAGCGAAGAGACAAATTCAACTCGTATATGCGTGCATAGTGATAATGAGAAAGTTATGCTAGTTGTTATGATGGACAATAGTCATGCTGTGGTTAATAAGCTCTCTAATGATAAGTGCTCCTTGATGCAAAAATAATGAGAATACTACATTCTACTCCCTGGGCTATGACAGGAGTATATTGTGTCAAGGGGTAGTGTAATCCCTTAAAAGGGTTAACATCTTAGACTCCCGAGCGTCGCTCAAGGACCAAGCCTCACTGCTTCACCCTCCGATTCCAATATACGTCCCTTGCAGACATTTGTCAATTAGTTGACAACCTCACCATACACGTTCCAGGATCCATATCCCATCTCGTGCAGATGAACCCACTTGACACAAAGATAGCTGGGGCATCACCCCCTGCTTCCTTCCGACAGGTAATAGTTGTTTCCGTCATTGATCATGGTCTAACAAGGCCCAAATACTTTCCTCCTCCTTAATAGTACTGTAGTCACCTCTCCTCAAAGGGTTGAGTGACAACACCCCACTATGGACCAGAAACATAGTTCCGACGTGAGTCTCACTACTACTTCTGAAGACGAATTTATAGCTCCTTCAAACCATCTTTCAGGGAAATAACAACTTAGGATTGCAACTCCCCCAAGAGTAGATTCTACGCATTGACTACCTCTCCAGAGAATCTCTCTTCCCAAGAGGTCAGTCACTCCATTCACCTTCGATCCCGCGTCGAACGTGGATTTTACGTAGCACTTCTATTCTTTGTAAGGAGAGCAATCCAACTATAGGTTATAGTGGATAGACATAAACGGATAATCATATATAATTAACTCATAAGGACGGACTAAAGCATTAGATGAGTAACTCGGGCGAGTAATCATGAATAAAAATGCATCAGACAGATAGACTTATAGGCTTGACTTGAATAAACTGGCGCAAATGGATAAATTTACATAGATAACTCAACCGAATGGCCTTAAACAGAAGAAATTAAGCGCTTAGATTCAAATGAATATGTTCAGGTTGATGGTGTCGAACTAGGTGAATTCCAACAGATAGCCTTTTACTTGAATTTTGCCGCAAAGTAAAGCATAAACGGGATGATTTAACAATATTGCCAAACTCCTTACTGCGTTACTGACCGTACTCAAGATCAGGAGTCTTAGGTTGTCCCTTTATAGACGAAACCAACCTTTAAAATTCTCTCAAAGATGGACTCAGCCCTATATTGACTCTTTCCTAAAACAAGACAAAAAAACCCATAGCAATTGAGGGTCCTCAGTGACACTATTCACGTTCGGTCCTCTTTGTATCCCTGGATATGTTTCTGACTTATTACTAAGTACTAAAATCACCATAGTCCATCTATCGGTACCTATGTCATGACCGGAGGGAAAAATACGCCTGCTCATAATACAAACTCACAAAGCTCACCCCACACTTATTCAAATAGGTCATCCTTGAGAAGGTACCAATAACTTCTACCACCCTATTTCTCTCTTCCCAAATGGATATCCCTTCCATTATGAAAACTGCCATTGACAAAGGGAGAAGTACACAAGTCATCGAGATTTACTCCCCCTCGAGCGTGTTTTTGTCTGATGACCTAGACAAGTATTAAATCATTACTTATCCTGGTCAAGCTTCGTGTTGACGGGATGACATCTTTAAATGATCCCTATGAACAATAGGTATGAAATCAGCCCGCATAATTTTATCTGACATAGGAAGAAATAGTGCCAGGGTGATACATAACCAATGATCCGCAGGTGCAGCCTGAAACGCTACGGGAGGGTCAGGCACATGCGGCGGCGGCGGAAGAGCAGGTCGAGGCGGCTGAGGAAGGACAGCCAACTGCTGAAGCTGACACGTCATAGAAGAAGAGGGAGAAGTATATCCCATCGGATAAGTACGAGGAGGCGGTTCAAATCATGGGGGTAGAGTGACGTAATACTGCTTGTATTTATAAAAATAGTAAGCCATCCTCCCAAGAGATGGCGTGCGTTCGCGAAAGTCTTCCTGATGCCGGAGCAATCGCACCTCTTCCCATTTCTCCTCCTCTTCCTCTTCTTCCTCTCGCTCTTCTCTTTCCCTTGTTAAGTCAATCGGCCTATCTGTAGCCTTTCCTTGCCGTCCACCCCTTCCTCTTCAGGTTTCTGATACGCGTGGCATGGCTAAAGGTATTACTTAGAGAAGCGCCATGAGTGCCTAGTCACCAAGTGATTAAAGCAATGCCTATGACTGGGGACACGTATGGATTCGAGGGAATGTCAAGATGACTGTGTGGTATAAGTTATCTGCCTGACGAGCCTTTAACGTCGAAAAAATAGGAGTACGCGGTCGTTTTTTTGGGAACTAGAAGGGATTATCGTAGGAGAAACCTCTTGGCTGACTTGACGAGATTTGTCCACTCCTTATTATTAGCTCTTCCACTATCCCTATTACCGAAAGATTTTGTGAATTTACCTATTATTCGTATGCTCTCTCTTTAGTAGACAAAAGGAACAAGTATCTTCTTAGGTAGCGACATAAGTACACACTAAGGCTCGTAGTGATGACCAGTGAGATACACCAGCCTATACATGTCATATCTCAAGGCACTTTCCTAAACAAAAGGCTTGTATCAGTAGACCAACAATTACCCCTACTACCTATCGAAAATTTACACACTACTCTATCCTTTCACTTGTCGTTTTGCTAAGGTTTCAATTAGCCAGACCCAGATCCATTCACATAGGACCCCGGAAGGCAACCGAAGGTCCCCGACAACGCCTCGATTTGTTGCCGGTGGACGGCTTGCAGCTCAAGTGATAGTCACGGTATCCATTAAACCAAAGGTTGTCGTTTTGTCGTGATCATCGTTTCACCATACTCGAGTCCGTTCACTAAGGACCTCGGCTGGAAAGCGAGATCCCCGGCAACAGCGCCACCTGTCGCGCGCGGCGGTCCTGCGCCCTGTTGGGGAGCGTTGAACCTCACGGTCGTGTCACGTAGGATGTTTCGTCTGAAAAGAACCAGTTACCACTCCAACCGTGCGCGCGTGCTATACCTCTCACGACACCCTGCGACAAGTCGGGACGTCGCGAGATACAACGTACCTCTACCCGAGGGGTTGTCACCACCCTCAGGTAGGCGTATCCCTGCTGAGCTACCGGCCCACGTGCGAAGGCTTTTACGTGCCTGAGTAGAGGTAGGTCGGCTGAGGGCGTTCGCTCGATCGCTGTAGCATAATATGGGGTACGCGCGGTAAGACGCCTAGAACTGACCCGTTAGATATTCAAGTCGAACTTTGAGATGGTCGTCTATATCCGCTTCTGTTCCCAAAGCACATTCTCCTTCTGACCTCTATGATCAATGTACGGAACTTGTCACTACCAAAGATGTTCTATTCTACTCATCGTATGCCTGATCATCAGATAAGATAGAAGTTATGTAAGACTTGATCAAGGTATTACCGCTGGGAACCCTTCCCACTTTCACAAGTGCTGAGTGTCCAGAACTCTTCACGACGTCAATCCCAGTCCAATCCAAACCATGCACAAGACAGACCTGCACAACATAATGCAAAGACAATTCACATACCATGCACTAACGGCATCAACCATCAACCATTGACATTGTCCCTCACTCCCCAAACCATGCATGACAACTCTTATCTTTCCTGAGATGCAAGCCCAGCCCCCTCACACTTATTCAAAGGCCCATTGAGAGTGACCATAACCATTTAGGCAACGACCACAGGTGATAGTTTTACTGACCACAGGGTTTAATTTTATATGTAGGTATCAAGTCAAGGCGGAAAAAGTTGAATCGGCAACGACCGACCTATTATCGAGTGATAACATAAAATTTGAGTCCTCTTTGTGGGACTTCTCCTTCAATTGCAGTAGATCAAAACAGAGACCTGCATAGATACAGGTCAACAAAGATTCAACATTCTCACTCGACTTCCCACATATTGATATCAAAGGGTCAAACCCTTAGATCTGGTTTGAGAGTTTTGGGATCAACATCCCAAAGTCTAACCCCTAGCTTCTATCTACCCTGAGTCGTCTGTCACTCCTCCTTTTATTTCAAGGAGTTTCTTGCCTATGTCCTAAGTTGTCTTTTAGGGAACCTCATATTTCCCCTCCTTTCAGTACTTGCATTTCTCTCTCTTGCGGATAAACACACCCTTTTGTGCTTTATGCGGTAGTCTGGCCGAGATCAACTCAAGCCAATGGCGGTTTCTTCGATGAACTGTGGCTATACGGGGTACCTTCTTTCTCTAATTACTTTTCCCCATGGTGTTCGCTTTCTCGTACGTTTCTTTTTAGGAATCTTTGGAGTTGTTCCCGATGGAGCACTCCCCTTTTTCCTTTCCTTTTCTTCTTGTCCTGACATACGCAAGTACTAGGTCGATTCACCTGGGAATCTTCCACTACTTGATCAATTCCAAACAATTCGTTAGTCAGAAGAGTAGTCGAGTCGCCCCACGGGAGCACTCAGTCACCCCTCAAAGTTCATGCAGTCTAGTTGAAGGCCTATGTTGAACGATCTCAACACTTGACCCAATATTCAGGAACATTCTAACTCCAAGTGTCATTTCCAAATCAAAGTTAGTAATAGGCGGTCTTCACGAAAACCTCCTATTACTACTTGATTCAGAGCTGGGTCTTTCCTTCAAAGTGTAATAGGACGACCCTACGAGAGCCACCCTACTACTTACTTAGAGTCAGACGAGTTGCGATTATGTTAACGGACCCAGGCAACACCGGATCCTCCGATTGCTGGAGTATCTTATTAGACCCGTTAAGATAGGTTCAAGCAAGCAATAGGATGACCTCACGGAAGTCGCCCATGTCTTGCTTTAACGTTAATCAGATGGACCGCTAATACTTATTTATATCATCCATTAGTCATACCCGAACAAGTCGTAAGGTTACTCACCCGGGAGTATCCCTTTACTTGTTCAAACATAGTCGCCTCACTTCTTCCCTCCGTTAGTTGACCTCCAAATCAAACAAGCGTTAGGATAACCCACCCGGGAGCCACCCTACTACCAGTTTGATGCATAGGAGATCAAGAATCAAATCTTGATTGAGTTGCCCTGATAGTTCACCTAAAAACTGCTTGAATAGAGGTAATAGAGCCTTCTTTTGTCGAAGTTATTCTCTCTTGAAGAGTGCCCATTTCTGTACTTCAAGTAGGTCGGCACCAAGTTTACACGCCAGAGAGTTAGCCGTTCGACGTGTCACTATGGACAACTCTTCGAAGAGAGGAAAAATGAAATTGGTTCGAACACTGAAGTTCGATGGCCAAAAAGCATGCCCAAATAGCCAAACACAGACTTTCTGGAAAAAGTAGAAACCACATGACTGATAATACTAAATCCAGGAAGAATTAAAATATAACATTATTTTGGCTCACCGGCGGAAGGGAAGACCCTGGTAGAGCACGCCGCCGCTCTCGCAACGGATAGGACTTTCTCTTTTTCCCTCTAAGAAAGCAATTATATATACAATTACAATCAATTCAATAAATACAGTCGTGGAATCTATTGAATTTGTACCGTAAATAAGCAAATGGTAGGTCGACTCTCACGGGAAGTCGGATGGATCGTTCCAGATTTAGGAGCTCGTGTACTCACCCGGGAGTACTCAATTACCTCCCCAGTCTGGTTCGATTGGTGATAGGAGAGCCTCACGAAAGCCTCCTGCTACCTTTTGCCTTTGTTAGCTTTTGAAGACGTGTACCCTACGAGAGTACCGGATTGACTCTGCTTTTGTCAATGATTGAAGAAGTGTACCCCACGGGAGTACCGGATCAATGGGCTTTTGTTAAGTTGAAGAAGTGTACCCCACGGGAATACCGGATCAAATGGTTTTTGNTTGAAGAAGTGTACCCCACGGGAGTACCGGATCAATGGGCTTTTGTTAAGTTGAAGAAGTGTACCCCACGGGAATACCGGATCAAATGGTTTTTGTTATGTTGAAGAAGTGTACCCCACAGGAGTACCAGATCAAATGGCTTCTGTTATGTTGAAGAAGTGTACCCCACGGGAGTACCGGATCAA